AAAAAAAAAAAAGAGAGAGAGAGCCTTAATCCATACCTTGTACCATATGAAAATGTTAACCCCAAATAGACCTAAACTTGAAAGAATAGACTTCTAGAAGAAAACACAGGAAAAAACCTTGTAACCTTGGGTTAGGCAAAGATTTCTTAGATATGGCACCAAAACATGATCTATAAAAAAAAAATTGATAAATTGGACTTAATCAAAATTGAAAACTGTTTTTTTTTCTGAAAGACAGTGTTGAGATGGAAGAGACAAGCCATAGCTTGATATAAAATATTTACAAATCATATCTAATAAAGGACTTGTATTCAAAATGTATAAGGAGCTCTTGAAAGTTAATCATAAAAAATAATAATTTTTAAATGGGCAAAATATTTGAACAAACAACCACATGCTTATTTTGTTTATTAAGCTCATGTTTTGCTCACTGGATGACCAATAAACATATAAGAAAATGCTAAAGTCATTAGTCATCAGGGAAATGCAAATTAAAACTACAACAATAACAAAAACAAAAAACAACAAAAAAACCTGCAACAAAATACTGCTGCTATACCTATTAGAATGACTAAAATTAAAAAGACTGATCGTACTAAGTGTTGATGAAGATGTGGAGGAACTGGAACTCTCATACATTGCTGGTGGGAATGTAAAATAGTACAACCACTTTGGAAAACAGTTCAGCAGTTTTTTAACAAGTTAAATGCACACCCGCCATATGACCCAGCCATTCTACTCTTAAGTATTCATCTAGAAGAAAAGGAAATATATGTTGTTGCAAAGACTTGTACATGAACACTCATAGCAGCTTTATTTGTGATAAGCAAAAACTGGAAACAACTTGAATGTCCATCAGCAGGTGAATGGTTCAGCAAGTGGTGATATATCAGTACCCTGGAATACTACTCAACAATAAAAAGGAATGAGCTACAGATACCTGCAACAGCATAAATGAATCTCAAAATATATTTGCTGAATGAAAGTAGTCAGACAAACAAAAGTATGTACTTGTATTCGTTTGCTAGTGGTGCCATAAGAAAGTACCACAGATTGAGGGTCTTAAACAGCAGAAATTTATTCTCTCATAGTTCTG